ATCGGGCGTATATCGCGACAAATAACTTCACGCCGTATTTTGTATAGCGAATTTTATTTCACATTCGCACTTACAATCACCCAAATTACAGATTTACGGTTACTGCTATCTGCAGTATCACAATTAGTACACTCCAAATGCCAGCGTATTTTGTATAGCGAATTTTATTTCACATTCGCACTTACAATCACCCAAATTACAGATTTACGGTTACTGCTATCTGCAGTATCACAATTAGTACACTCCAAATGCCAGAATACAACTGACTAGTTGCTGGCTAACTCGGCAGTAGCTCCAGGACTCACTGACTGACTCAGTACAACTGACTGTGAATAGCCTTCGCTGCTCCTTATGTAGCCTTGATCGGACAATTGTCGTCTGGTGCCTTGTTGCTAGCCACGCTGTCCGGAAGTAACCGCTGTTACTACTTGGTGACATCACCGCTGTTGACTCGCGTTGCCTAGCGACCAGGATGCTAGGACTCGGCTAACATCGGCTCGCTTCAGCTTCGCTCGGCGCATCACGGCTGGCGGGGGGTGGGGGAGGGGAGTCATCCATAGCTCAGCATGTCACAGTACTCCTAATCAAAATCACTGTTTATCTTGGCTAAGAGAAAATACTATAAACTGCAACAAAGATATGCTATTATACCACCTGCATTTCTATGACAAATGAAGTAGATCTTGAGAAGTCTGAACCACTGGCAGGTTTGAAGATACGGTGAGGTTCCTCTATAAATTATTCACAGATGTTCATGATTATTCCTTCAGAAATATTTCCAGACAAATCATCTGTGAAGAAACAACTTCAGGACATAATAAAAAATCGTTTTAGAATGACGTTTTTATAGTACAAATTAGAGTTCTATCATACCATGTTGAAGAACAGTCCAAAATGTGCTTGCTCTACTGCATAATCAAGATCTGCATCACTGAGAATTATATTAGGAGACTTCCCACCAAGTTCCAAAGTGATGCGCTTCAAGTTACTCTCACCAGCGCCTTGCTGAATTAATTTTCCAACCTGCAAATTCCCAACATTACTTAAACTCCATTCTAAGATCATGGAAAGACTCAAAGGACTTATTTCAAATACCCAAAGACATATTTTTACTGGAACTGCACCAAAACTATATCACTCTAGGGTTAGAACAATAATATAGATTTTTAGCATATCGCAAATGTTCAGTCCTCTAAAGAGTGTAACAAAACGTCTATCTTAAGATATTGCAGGTAACTTCCTGCAACTCTGTGGCTTATCTGACATGAAGGAACAACTGATTACTGCCCTTACAGAAACAGCATTGCAGTACAATGTGAAACAATGCAGGTTGTCCAAGCCCTGATATTTAAAGCGTCACTGAACACACCTCAGTGGATCCTGTGAATGCCACCTTATCCACGCCATGATGCTGAACCAAAGCAGCTCCTGCTCGACCATAACCTGGCACAACATTCACAACTCCTGCTGGAAATCCAGCTTCTTTGACAAGATGGGCAAGGTACAGAGCTGTCAAAGGTGTCTGTTCTGCTGGCTTAAGAATAAGAACATTCCCTGCAATGCACAAATGAACGCTACTATTCTCTGTGCACATGTTCCACTTAAAATATCCAATACATGAATAAAATACTGTGACATGTCAACGCATTGCCAGTCAAAGGCACAATAAATACCTTGCTTAAGTGCATGCAACAATAGGATGAATGTTGCTAGGCAACAGTCAGCACACCAATGAACTGGCGAGATAGCTACCACATGGCTCGTTTTCAATGTGGTCTACACCGTGCCCAGTGCTAAGTAACAGAACTGTAAACATATCTACAATAATAGGTATTTTCTATGGGGTCTGTGCCAAAGGTTTATACGTGACAGCAAAGGTCATTTGAGGTCAGTCATAGCTGAGAAGCCGTGAGTCAAGAACACGAAGCTGTCAGAGAACGGAGTTGTGAGGATTCAGTTGTGAAGTGTTAACAGACATTGAAGACTTTATGTGCTACAGTTACAGTAATCTTGAGAGTGTTTGAAGTAAGTGTAATTATGACCAGTGAAGATCCAATAAACCGATTCACCAATCCAAACCCACATCTTAGTTACTGAAACAGGTGATAATACATTTCCTTTTTCTAGAAGATCAGGCTACATTATTCCCTTACAAATAACCTGCAATCTTAATCAGTCTCTAGCCCATTTTATCCTACTAGCACTTTTCACTGGTTAAATAAGTATACTGGCATTACAAAATAATTTAAACGATTCTGTTAAACAGACCAAACCAAAATTATAACCTCAAAATTTTGTATTTTCAACAACATGCAGATGATACTGTGATGTGATGCTTGAAAGCTGGAGTAGTGGAGTCAGAAAAGGTGACCACTGCCAGGTAACGTTTGGCTAAATGTGTTCCAATTCCAAGGCATAGCACCAAATACGAGGGGGTACCCAAAAGAAACCAAACTTATTTTTTTTAACTTATTTATTCAAATTTTAAGCACAAACCTTCAATCCCCTTCAAAGTACTCTCCACTTACACTAATACACTTGTCTAGTCTTTTATTCCATTTTTCAAAACACTGTCTAAATTCATCCTTTGAGATGCTTGACAGCGCCTCCATCGTTTCTTCCTTTCATGTCTCTTTTCACGCACGGGGCAAGGTCGGGTGAGTATGGAGGGTGAGGAACAGGGGTCATACCATTTTTGGTCAAGAACTGTCGTACAGACAGGGCTGTGTAAGCAGGGGCATTGTCATGATCGAAAAACCAGTCACCCGACTGCAACAAATCTGGCCGCTGAGCTCCAAGTCACTCCCGACAGCTCCACAATTTCTTCAATGGTCCGTCGTCGATCTTCCTTGATGATTTCACGAATTTTTTCAACATTTTCATGTGTTCGGGCCGTGGAAGGACGACCAGAACGAGGTTTGTCATCAATTGACATTTCACCATTTTTGAAACGGGAAAACCACTCAAACACTTGAGTTTTCCCCATAGCATCGTCCTTGTACGCCGTTTTTAACATTTCAAGAGTTTCTGTTCCACTTTTCCCGAGCAAAAAGCAGAATTTCACCACCGCACGCTTTTCATGAAAATCAGACATTGCAAAAACGACGATCACGCAAAACAGTTGTCACTATAAACTCTGCCGAAACTAGTCCTTAGCTTCTGAAGCAACGGTAGTCAGCTTATTGACTCAGGAATGTTAGCTCTATGCGCTCATAGCTGCAAAACGCGGTACTACAAAAGCTCTGCCCACAAAAAAATTAGTTCGGTTTCTTTTGGGTACCCCATCGTATGCATAAGCATAATTGGTTACCATGGGAATTACAACAGTTTCCAATGCAACAAAGTTATGAAAACACAGTAACAGAAAGGTAAAACAGGATGATCTCTATTCAGTTCTCCCAAAGCTATGAGGGGAGGTCATAACAGACCAGAACAGACACATAGATAGTATGATTATATAACAAAAATGTGCAGGCAACAAGCAGAAGTCATACAAAATCATGAGAATGAACATGTTCACCGTATAGGACAAGGTGAAGCCAGACACTGAAAATATACAAGAGGCTTAAACTTGGCGGTGGTCAAGCTTACGACTGTTCAAATTACTAAGCTGCTGTTGTAGCATAAGATATGTAAATTAGGCATGATTTGCTCTGTAATGCCTGTACTGACAGAGGACTGTAGTGTAAAAGAAGAATTTTCAATAACACATTATATGTGCAATATATACACTTGATGAAAAGCCAAGTGTATTCGTAAGAGACAAACCCATTTTCTTGTCAGAGAGGATGCTACATAAGGACTAATGCTGCAAGAGTTCAGTCAGAAAAAATCTCTGGTCATGGGCCTCAAGGGCCCTGATGCCAAGACAAACTGATTGGTGGTAAAGCACCAGTTGTAAAGTAACTATGACTTTGACTTTGACACAGACAGTACCCAGAGAGCAGAAAGAGCAGACTGCAAGAGAAGAGAACTCAGAGGGCAGAAGCTGAAGACTTTATTTCATGTGGTGTAGTTACAAGCAACTTCTACAGTGTTATCATTGTTTGTAGTTATGACATATTATAGTTACAGTAAACACTGAGAGTGCTGTAGGTCTGATTGGTGAATATCCAATAAGTCGATTCACCAATCCAAACCCTGTCTACAAGTCACTCAAACACCTGACAATATTTTAAGTGCAGAATCTTCCACATACCAATTTCATATCCTACTTAAACAGTTTATCAGCTACCATCACACTCAAGGGTAAATATACAGGGGATGGACAAAAATATGGAAACACCCAACAAAAAATACATTACTGTGACTAATATGGAGTAGGACAACCTCTGGCTTGCAGTCTCCTTGGAATGGATAAATACAGGTCCTGTATGATTTGCAAGGGAGTCTTCTACCATTCTTCCTGCAAAACATTGGCAAGTTCTGTTAACGATGATGGAGGTAGATAGTGTGCATGCAGCAGTCACTGTGTTCAGCAGTCACTTTTGCAGATGTAGTCTTCTTATTTTTCGTCACAATCCTACGCAATGTTCGTCTGTCTCGATCACTCAACACACATTTCCAGCCACGCTGGTATTTATCGGATGCAGTTTTTCCAGTCCTCCTGTGTGCAGTCATAATCTTGGATACTGTGCCTCGTGAAATACCAAAAACCTTGGCTACCTTTGTTATGGAAGCACCCACCATACAGGCCCCAACAATTTTCCCGTGTTCGAATTCTGTTAGCTCTGACATGATGCACAAAAAACTGCACAGAACACTGTCTCGACAACAAATGAAGCTTGCAATGTATTGCGGAGGTTGTACATTGGACAGATAAAACATCGTCACCTCCAAATGTGGCTAAAATAAACACTTCAATTCAGGCATACATTTCATGAGGAGCGTCATCCATAGCACAACTCGTCACAATATTTTTGTCCATCCCCTGTACATTTCATCAAATACAGTACTACAATTTTCCATTTTTTTACATGAATGGTCCTGATATAAGCCATATGTATTTAAAAGAACCATTATCATACAAAAATCCAGAATTCTACAAGGGAACTAGGCCTCAACTGGCAGTGCCAAAAGAAGGAATGGACAAAGAATAACAGAACCTTCCTAACTTGTGTCATAAAATTCAGCCCATTGGTTCAAACATTATTTGGGAACATGTAAGTGTTTACTGGGAGAAATATATGCATAGAATAAAGCATGAATCACCATGTAAACCTGTTTTCCTTTTACAAATTGACATAAATTTATATTTTTCACTCCTTTAATATAATCTGTGTTTTAACAGAAAAAAATATCTTTGCAGACATACACAAATATGTCTCACAGAAAAGAAATTAAGACTACTTCTATAGTCACCTGATAAATAAGAAATACCTGACTCACAAATTTCAATTTGCTTCTTTGTTTTAAAAGAAACAAGAGGTTAACATAATTTCTGTTATAATATGCACAGAGTCAAACTGTCTGTTGTTGAAATATTCCATTCCATCAGCATCAAGAACAGCTTACATAACAATTACAAAAAGAATACATAATTCTTCCTTCTTCACTACATATACATATTGCAATAGGGAACACTTTATGCCAACCAGCTTCACTGACTAAGTTGTGTAAGATTTCCCGTGCACAACAGGTAAATAAACTCAGCAAAAATCATTCACCCTCAGACTATATTCAAGATACTTGCCAGTTGCCAGAGCAGGAGCAAGTTTCCATGCAGCCATGAGGATTGGGAAGTTCCATGGAATGATCTGACCACAGACACCAACAGGCTCATGCCGGGTGTAACAGAAGTAATCACCATCCACTGGAATTGTCTTACCATGGTTCTTGTCTGCCCAGCCAGCAAAGTAACGCAGTACTTTTGAAGCTGCTGGTACATCAAAAGCATAAGCTGCAGTGTATGGCTTACCATTGTCCAGAGTTTCCAGACTCTGTGAAATAAGAATTTCACCATTCCTGTTATGATTATTCGAACCAGAGTTATAAGAACATTTGCTCATAATACATCATGCACATGTGACACAAAATGCACACACACGATAAAGTTATCCTCGGAACTGCTTAGTTAAGCACAACACAATGACGACATATGGGAGAATAGAATAAAAGTTCCACCATTATTAACCTCAGCCCCAGATGGAGGTGAGCGGTCAGCTTCATGCCTCTGCCACTTTACCCACTGGGGAAACAGCCCCCAGTACCAACTGTATAGAGGGCTGGGGGAACCCCACAGCTGGCCCAGATGTTATGAAGAAGAGAAAAATCTCTTGACCCTGACAGGAATCTAACCCCAAATTCTCAGTTACGCATCACATAGCTTAACTGTTATATAAACTGAGCAGCCTGGCTGCACAAACCACATGTAACATAAAGGTAAAAAGGTTAAAGTTGTTCTTGTCCCTAATTAAACACCACGCCATGAAGATGTATGACAGGTGGAGGTATAGATCCACCATTCTTGACCTCAGTAATACAAGGGGGTGGGTGGTCAGCTTCAGGCACAACCTTTTCACCCATAGGGAAGGAGCAGTCAGTAAAAAAATAAGGAGATAACAAACAGAACTCGATAAATTAAATTTTAGTAAGAACTTGTAATATCAAACTTCATCTAATTCAGCAAAAAGAAACCCATGGCAGCCCTGTTACATGTGTACTGAGCCATGGCAAAACAGATGCTCATGCTTAGTTGCAAAATGCACCTAACAAATGCTCTGATACTTACCTGTCTAGTGGTGTCCCTAAAGACTGATTCTAAAAAGTCAAACATTCACATAAAGGTCATGCTATTTCTAGCAAAGGGCATTATACAATTCTTAAAATTTGATAAAAACTGTAATAGGTAAGCCCATGCATTAACAACCTCATCCCCAGTGAAATTTTGTGGACAAGTCACTATCTACAGGTGCCTAAGTCTTTGCCTCCAGCTGCTTACATTCCAGTATGCCTATCTGGTTGCCCTGGACCGCACCATAGCTCAAGTGGTTAGTCACTTGGCTTCCCACCGCGGTGGCCCGGGTTCGATCCCGGGTCTGGTCAAGTGGGATTTGTGGTGGACAAAGTGGCGCTAGAGCAGGTTTTCTCCGAGTACTTCGGTTTCCCCTGCCAATCTTCATTCCACCAATTGCTCCACAATCACCCTCACCTATCATCTGGGGCTGGTACAATAGGCCAGAAGTGGCCGCAGCACAAGGGACTTAGTCCCACCCCACTAGCAATAAAGAAAATACTGGCTGCCCTCCTCACATCTGTAGTTGGCTGCATGTCTGGCCACTGCTGCCCATATGATTTTTCACCTCAAGAAAGAGCCACATTCCTGTGCAACTCAGGCTACAAGCACATGACTTCCTCCCTCTGCATGTGTCCACCTCAATTGTTAGTGATATGCATATCCATTCTATTGCCAGTTCACATACCTGTTGTGAGAAAAGGCCTAAGACTTCTTGGTGTAAATAACACAATGTGCCATTCTGTCTGTCGATGTCTGTATGTTTACCTCATTTTGTGACCAGATGACTGTACACATGTCTGTCCATTGAAGTACAGACCTATCTTTGTACAGTAGTTATGGACATCAAAGAAATTATATACAGCAGCATTACTCCCAACTTTCCATTGATTTCAACAAATTCAAGTCATTATATGCATGAGGTGACCACTACATAAACATACTGTACGGTGGATTACTTTTCTGAAACAAACGCACTGCTGAGAATTGTTTCTATTCCATGACAGTACCCCAACCCTTTCATCAGAACAGTATATGGGCATACAACTGCTTTGTTTTACATGTCAGAGATTATCCTGCTTTAATACACCCCAGCACTCACTGCCAGATAAACTCTATCCCGATCCAGTAGGTCAGCTAGCCGAAGGAGCAGGTCTCCTCGACGTGATGCATCCATACGTCGCCATGGGCTGCCAAGCCTAAACGCTTCAGTTGCTGCCTTCACAGCAACATCAATATCTTCCTGAAATGGAAAATTACATTACAACTTATACAAAGTGAAAATGATAAACCGTGTGTTCCGTGGCGCCTCCTCAGGCAATCAGCCATGTCAATGTGGGGAAGTGTCTGATGTTTCACAGACTGTCTCTGTCTCCATCATCAGGGTTGCTGATGCAATGACTGTTGCAGTCACATGCTACATTTATACAGGGCTGTCATCTACCCTAGCCTCGGCCATGTGGGGAACAGTGGGTGGAATCAGTTGGTCAGTCATCAGAATCTTTGATGCTTGTTGCTGCTCCTTCCTTATGTTTTTCTAGATGTTTCTGTCATGTTTGAGACCAGACACCATGAACAAATTAGATGGAATCCCATATCTCTGTATAAGTTCTCAGGACAGAGCCACATCTCAATGGCTTCTTTCATTATATAGTCTGTGTAGCCTGACTGGTATATAACTATACCATCTATAGAAATTACTGCATGCAGGCTGTGAATTGTGTTTCTTTCACCTGCGAACCATTAACAACTTTCTTTAAAAACAGTGTCGTGTCTCACATATATCACATTTTTCAGCAATGGTGGACTTAAAAGTAGCTATTCTTTATAATTCAATGAAAGCCCCATGTCTTTCATTCATGTGGACATAATTTGCTGTGTAAAGAGAGTAGATTATGCAGAGCATTTCACGACTTTAGGGCATAACTGCAGGAGGTGATTTAAGTCTTTATGATCAAAAAAGTTCATATAAACATGTGTCCGATTTTGGACGGTTATGGAGTTATGACCGTTTTCAACTCAGAATAGAAGGTAACAATTACTGACAATAAACGGAAGAAAATAATAAACCAGCATAATACATGGTACATTTAAAGTATGAATGTAAAGTTAACTTTGTGAAATTACCTTTAATTTGAATTTATTGGTGCTTAAAGCTAATTTTCGAAAATGCTACCGCCGGCTGCAACACAGGCTGCCGCTCAGCTGTGAACTGCGCGGGTACATACCCACCCACCACGCCTTAGGTACCTCTCAAGTGTTGAGATACCGAGAACGCTCTGTCTGTAGCTGGCTAAAAATAGCGACCCGTCAGATGATAGACGCGGTTCACACGAGGGCATGTACGGGAATGAAAAAACAGTCATAACTCCATAAACGTCCAATATTGGACACATGTTTATATGAACTTTTTTGATCACAAAGACCTAAGAAATCATCTCCTGCAGTTATGCCCTGAAGTCGTGAAATACCCTGTATAAGCACTTCCCAACACTAAATGAGTGGGATAAATCTGATGCTCTGAATGCATCAAACTGTGCACCTGAAGTTGTGATTTTGCCTTTCAGACATGCCACAACACATATATAATATTTGGAAGTACCCACATTTGTAAGAAACTCTTTTTTAAAAAAATAAGTATTCAAAGTTAACACTTACAAGCAGCTCATCTTCCTGGTTTGGTTACTTAGTTGTGCTTTTAATAATATCACTGTGAGTTTGTTTCATAGCCCAAAACTTTGAAATGAACCACCCCACCTAAATTGACAAATACAAACGATTCTTTTCCTCAACATCATACACATATAAGTATTCATAACATAATCAACTGCATATGTATATAAAAAAATTCTACTCTCTTCCCTTTTCATGCAGGTAGGTCTTGTTATACTATTATTTGTGTTGTTTATATAATCCGGTTTATACTACAAACCAGATCCAGTGTGTTACTTATTATATGTCCAAATTAGTACAGTGTAATATTTGGGCAATCAAATTTTGCTGGCTGAGGATATAATTTCACAAAAGGAAGTACTGTACATAACTGTAAGTACAAGGTGTGGCAATAAAGAAACCGGATTACTTTTATGACTCATTTCCGGCCACGTCATTGACGAAGAGGAGGGTAGGGCATTGACCCTTGGACTTCCCTCTACCGTCACACAAAGTTTCATTCACGTGCATCGGTTAGTCTGGCCGCGACCATTGTTAGAAGCGGATCGTGTTTCTGAGCTCCGTCGGAATAATGCTGAGTGCTAATGCAGAACAACGTGCTAACATCAAATTCCTCACAAAACTTGGAAAATCTGCCACTGAAACTTACAATTTGTTGACAGAAGTATATGGTGATCAGTGTCTATCTCGCACGCAAGTTTTCGAGTGGTTTAAGAAGTTTATGGAGGGTAGGAAAAACGTCGGGAACGATCCAAAATCGGGCCGTCCTCCCACTGCGAAAACTCCAGAGAATGTGGAGAAGGTC